CCGAAGGCGAAAGAGAAGGGACAGGGGGTGGGAGGCTTCTGTTTTTCTTTGCTGATCGATCTTTGGTTGTGTGGAGAGATTGGCGGCAGTCAGCGGCTTGGATACGACGGTGCTTGCATTCATGGAGGAGGATTGGGGGAGAAAAAAGGATGGAGAAATGGAGCCATTGTGAACATCCATGGATTGGCAATGGGACAAGCAAGCAGACGAGTGGCGCTGTAGTACTTTGTAGATGAAAAAGCACACGGAGAGCAAGTTTGGGGGGTCCTTGTCCTTGTCGGGGAGGGATTCTCGCCTCCAAGGCCATGGACGGGGACGTTTGCCTGGTGCTACCTTGACTGGGCTACCTAGTTAGTTTCTGCCTTGACGACTTACCTACTGTATCTTCTCGACTTGCATGTATGTAGCTCGTAATGGACATGTAATGCAATAGGACGCCGGTAGAGTGATTGTGATAAGATGATGACCTTGTAAGATGAATGATACGAACGAAACACCCGGCTGCTGCTGCTGCTGCCAAGTACAGCAATACGAGTAGGCTATCTGTACATGCCGTATCGTGTGTATGTACTAGTATATCGCACGGCGGGTTTTCTTCGACAATCACTTGCCACCACCTTGCTCAAGCCATGGATGTTCTGTAGCTCCATATTACTCCATAGGACGGGCTGGGTCGGTTATGCTTTCTGGGGGAGGTAAGATGGGATGGACTCTTTTGGCTGGGATACTCCTTTCGGCAGTGATACGGAGTGCGCTCCGTGCAGCCAACCACCCCGACCCAACATCCAAGATGCTTTGGCTGTTTGTATGCATGTATGTAGGTATGATAGGATGCGATACGATACGAGCACAAGTATGTAGTGACATTAGACAGGCTGTGCCAGAGATGGACTGATAGCGACAGTGGCATTGCATGCACGCACATGCTCCCGTACAAGACATGACATGCCCGTACAAGTACATGCTTGTTTTGAATTGGGCGGCAACCCGAATCAGAGTTAGCATCCAAAGCAGGAGCATCATCGTCACTTTTTTTTTTTTGGAGAGCGGAATTATGGGGAAAGCGCTTGAGCAATGGCGGGTACAGGGAATTAGATTACATGTAGTTAGGCTTGGGGGTGAGAGGGAAGGGAAGGGAAGGGATGGGAAGGGATGGGATGGGCGTCGAATCAAATGGTGTGCGAGTTGAGTGAGAGAGAGACTGTGTCTGTGTCTGTGTCTGTGTGTGTCCAGTCGAGTGCTTTTTGGCATCCATTTCCATCTCTAGCCAACCAGCGGCGGGTGAGTGGCTCGAGAGTTGTCTGTCTGTCTGTCTTTGTCTGACGCAAGCGCTGGCATGGCAATGCAATGACGAGCTTGCTGTATAGACTTTTTAAATTCTCTCCCTCTTTTTCTTTTGCTCATCCATCCATCCACTCACTCAGTCAGTCAAGCAACACAACGCATCTTCCGGTCTCTTATTTTCCCTTGTTTTTTTTATTTTACTTTGATTTGCCAGGGCTGCTTGGGCTGGAATTTCTGATTGGGGGTGGAGTAGGCCCGGCACAAGTGTTTTAGCGCGGAGAAGGGTTTTGGCCTGAGCGTTGCGGCTAGCCCGATGGGGAAACGATGGAGAAGGGAGGTTAGGGGCCCATTGGGGCGAAAAAGGAACGGGACGAGTCGGCGTCGTCTTGGGGGACGCGCAAGTACCGGTACAAGGCGTGTGCGCCGTGTGCGCGCGAGTGGGTGCGTGTGTGCGCGTGGATGCGGCTTGTCTGGCTTGCAAATGTGCCGCGGGCTAGAGACGGCGCTACACGACGTTGATGTTCGAGAATGGCGGAGGCGGCTCCTTGTTGTTGGGTGACCGGGGGTGTGTGTTGCTGTGTTGCTGTGTCCTGTGTAAGAGTACGAAGGAGTCTACCTGGACATCAGGTATCGGGGCCGTAGTGCGTTCCGCCGGTCGGTACAAGTGACTCCGGTACTCGTACTGCGGCAGGTCGGCCGGCAGAAGCACCACGGAGTAACGAGTACAGTACAAGTACGAGCAAATCGGCGGCAACTTGAGGCCGTTGGGAGTTTGTTTAGCGAACACTTGAGACAATTGCCTTGCCATTGAGCGGCAGAGATATTCATTTCCTTGGTTGGAGGTGTCGTCACAATACCTGCCGACAGGTACCATCGGGCGCCGGGGGGGTTTTGGGTAAGGGTTCGCACTGTGAAAAGCGTCTGGTAAGGGCTCTGGTAATGGTTTTTGTACTTCCGTAATGGTTTTCTACCCTAACTTCATTGCTCATAACGATTACCAGCCTAAAAAGGCTGACCAGACCACTTACTAAAAACCACCCCCGGGCTCCTAGGTACCTTTACTATACTCCGTGCTCGCACACACATGTACCGAAGGCCCCCGGGTGCAACTTGCACGGACAGAACTTGATGCGGCTTGGGCTGCGTGCGTGCGTGAGTGCTGGGCCGGCTGAGTGGCCAGATTGGACGGGATGGGTGGCTACTGTACCGTACGAGTACAAGCACAAGCACACGCACACGCAGCTGGGCGAGCGGGACTGGGTGAATGGGATGGAACCATGAGAGTGAGCAGGGCGTGCGTTGCATGGAGGTTGTCAAGTCAGGTCGTAGCGTAGCGGGTGACAGGTGAGGCGAGGCGGTGATTAAAAACAAGCCCTGGGCAGAAGCACAGCACGCACCACACTTAGAATGTACTAGTACGCGTACCACGGGGGCAGGGGGTGTGTGGAGGATGGGCAAGCAGAAAGAAACCTATGCAGATGGATGCGACGAGAGAGAGGAAGAGACAGAGAGAGAGAGAGAGAGAGAGAGAGAGAGAGAAAGAGAGAGCGGGAAGCCCTCCGTGAGATATCGCCGGTTGGGGTTGGACCAGGTGCCGGTAGCGGTGCTGTCTGGGGGCCACTAACAGCTCCCGACCTTTCCCTCCGTGATGCCGCGAGGATACTAGCCTCGCGAGTAGCCAGAATGCAATTTTTGTCGGTGGTGATAGAGTTTAGCGACAGTTGAATCAGTCAATGCAAATGCGGTGGAGGGCTGCATTGGTGCTGGTGCGAGGGCTAACAACTGACACTTGATCCATCTTACTTCTGACAAGACCGCACGTGTGCGCACAAAAGTCGCAGCCATCAGTCCAACTCGGCCGACTCTCTGCTGTCTGCCTCCCACTCTCTGCCGCACGAGATGCGTCGATGATGCTACCTTCCATGCCGGGCCCTACGACGAACGGCCAGACAGGGCGGTTCATTCGCCGGCAGCATCGAGATGGGGGGAGGGCATAGCCATATACCAGCTGTTATCGCAAGGTATGGATGTCTGTACGAGCAGTTTGATAGCAACCCAGCATCAGACTGCCTCAACCTGCCTGGACAAACTGAACTGGTGACTTTTCTTGTCTTTCCCTTTCGGCTTGGGGTGGCTGTCGGGAGCTTGTGCACCGGCCACCTTTTTTTCTCTCTCCCGTCTCCCTGCCTTGGTGTGCTTGACCTTGCTCGAACTTATTTTGCTGTCCGGTTCGTTTTTAGTGTCGTCGGATGTATTCCGAGACGGCTCGTGTGTGTGCTTCTTTTCTTTTCTTTTCTTTTTTCTCCCCTTGCCTGTTTCCCCCTTCCGTACGTGAGGCTATTTGCTGGATCTGGATTCTTGCAGTAGATGCTTACATCTTGCCTCCATCTCTTCAGGACATCTCGCCGAGTAAGGACAGGCATCGCGACAGGCCCAGTTCTTACCATACAGTACCTCTTCGTACTGGGAACCCACGCAGTCACTAGCCCAGGGCATTAGCAGTGGTATATGTACCTTGCGAACGGAGGCCTGTTCCGTGTCTTCTGGAAGAGATGCCATCGCAGGGTCTTGCCGGCACCTACTCTGCAAAGGTGGCGCCAAGAGCACGAGCACCACCCGTCCTAACCAAGTCAGAGCAGACGCGCTACTCGTACATGATGGAACTAACTCGAGCCCACAGCTGGTCCATCGCCCTGCCTGATGTGGTGTTGCATGTACATGCTTGTACGGAGTACGAGTACATGCCGTAGTACATAGGTATGTAGCACACAGACAGCGGCTCGTACAGTGCGGGGACGGGCCACATGGCACTCTTCCGAGGTCTCAGACACGGTGCAACGGCCGGCCGCCCTGGGGCCAAACCCAGTGCGCGCCACAGGCCCAGCCCGGTTCCAGCCCAGCCCTGGCCTGGACCGTCCAACGTCCAACGTTTGACGCTCTCAACGCTCACCCGCACCCGCATCCACCCTCACTCCCACACCCCGCGTGAGACATGCCGTCCAGGCCGTCCAGCTCGAATAATACCTGGATTATGGAGCCCTCTCGGTCTGCAGAAGTGGGTGTGCCGCCCAAGTACCGACTACCTATCTCGCCTGCCCAGATGCTGCCTGTGCGCGCTCGCTGCCGTACCCGTGTCTGTACCGCTACCCGCAGATTGCGTGCGCCCACGCTCGTGGCCGTCGTACGCTTCATGTATGGAGTACACAGGCGGCGCCTAATCGGATGCCACGCCTGCAAGGCTGTTGCCCCACGTGCCTTGTAGCGTGTACCAAGGCCCTCGTGCGACCATGGCAAGAGAAGCGAAAAGAAGCAGAGAAAAAACCGTTGCGGTTCCAGCCATGTTGAGTCGCACCCACCCACCTCGAGCAAAACCCACTCGCACCGCCCTATTGATAAAACACCCCAGCCCGCAATTCCCGCGAAATGGCCCCAATGGATAATGCAGGGGAGGCGAAGGGGGTGGCAGGCGGGTGTGCATTTCGAAAGCAGACAAGATGCAAGTGACAAAATTGTTCGGAGACGAGACCGACAGTAGGCGGGCAGGGGAAGGGAAACAAGGGAAAAGAAGAAGAAGAGTGGGAGACGAAGACAGTCTGGTTGCAAAGAAAAGAGATTGCAAAACCGCCAACGAGAACAAGCAAAGGAATGCGTATTGAAACGCACGAGAGAGCTGCTCGCAAAAAGACAACACGCCAGAGACAAAGAGGCGACAAGACATGACAAGGTCCGCCAAAAGGCCTCCGCGAAGCCATCTCCAAGCGGAAGCAAAAAGACAAGCCGGGACGCTTCCCATCCCCCACGACAGTTTCCACGCCCTCTCATTCTTCTCCCCTCCTCAGCTCGCCGCTTGCTTGCCCACTCACCGGTCTCGCTCCCCTTCACAGCAGCCCTGCTCCGGGGCGCGTGCCATGGACAACGGCAGTCTCGGCGCCGACGACGTGTCCTAAGACCTCGACGCGGCTATCGAACCTGGCCATGAAGACGAGCAAAGCAACGACAACGCAAGTGGCCTTTTAAAAGCAACAACCGCGAGTGCGCCAATGTCTAAGCTTGCCGACTCCGACTCGACCGTCGACCAACGGGCCGAGATGCACGTTCGACACGTCTTCCAACACGGCCTCAACCTGTCGGAAGAGCTCGAGATGCTGCGCCACAAACTGCGCGTCCTCGACGACGTCGTTGATCACCACGGTATGGTCTCCATGTTTCTCACTTTCGGTCCGCCCTATCTGCCTCTGTCTCTCAGTTCTCTCTGGCTGTCTCGCCTGGTCTCCCGCTCTCACCCCCATGTGCGCAAGTGTGTACATGTACGGGCTGATGCCCTGTATGTGTGTGCGTATTGCGTATTTGCATCATAGGCTCCCCTCAATTGCTCTTTTTTTTCCCCCTTCCTTGCCTGTCAAGCCCCTGTCCAGTCCTGATACAGCCTTGTCCACATTTGAGCCCGGCCTCGATTGACACACACACACGCGCATATACACACGCTTTTGCTCCCCCTACCTTTGCCTTGCCTTGCCTTGCCCTGCTTGCCCTGCCCTGCCCTGCCTTTCCTTACCTGACCTTATTACTCCGTACGTACATGCATACACGCTTGTTTTGTACTAGACAGGCAGACGGACAGACCATACCAGACCAGACCAGACCAGACCAGACAAGATACCGTACATAGTGGTAGCGCTCCGTTCATGCCCTCACATACCACTACTTACACATACATACGAGCCGCCATTCGCTTTCCGGTCCGGCAACGGAGCCCGTGTGCTGACTCGCAAATGCTTATCAGGCCCGGCGTCGCGCGTAACCCCCTTCATGTCCGACATTGAAGAGGCTCGCGCGATTCAGCACCGTTGCGAATGCCTCGAGGCTGCTTGTGTTCGAGATAGTAAGCTGAGACCAGACCCTCCTACCGCTACTTGATTAGCTAGCTGCCCATCTCCCGTTCTCCACGCAGCCCGCCGCCGCCGCCACCAACCCGCCTCATGCAAGCCCCCAATCCATTTGTCAAAATATACTGCTGCTACTCCATGCTACATCTGCCTTGTACTCCATACATCGTCAGGCCCAAAAACAACAAGGCCGGGTCCTGTTGTTAGTTCGCCTTGCCCAGACGCTGACCTTTTCTCTCCCTCTCTTTTGCTCCCGCCAAATAGACGTGGATGCTGTCGAGCCCCTGAGAGGCTCTTCGCGATCGGCGCCGCCAGGGTTCGGCTCTTGGCTGGACAAGCATCTGGAGCTCCACGACCCTGTCCTCCGGGCCCAGCGGGAGTGCGGCAGCGAAGTTGTGTCCAGCGCTTATCCGCTTCCCTCTCTAAAGTGCTGGGACGACCGGTGCATCCACTACGTTTACGGTTTTCTCACCGAGCTTGATCGGAGCAGCCACGCCCGAATGCATGCCTCTCACGCAAAGAGAGACTCGGAGCTCTCTGCCGCCAGCTCGTCGCTGTCCTCGTCGTCGGTTCTCGCCTCTGGCCTTGGGCGCGGTCCGTATCTGTCCAATGCCTCTGAACCGTTGGGCCCGTCGCCTCTCATGCACCTTCCACGCCCCGCCCTGTCCTCCAAGCTCCCTCCTCTCAGAATCCCGACGCCGTCGACCGAACGGCGAGACTCGCTCATAACCTACGCATACTCCAGCCGCTCCGCCGCCCCGAGGAGCGCCGTCGACGCCGATGTCGAGCCCCTCCTCCCGCCATTGAAGAGGAGCAGGGTCGGCAGCTTGCCTCGTCTCGAGTCCATCGGAGAGCTTCGCCTCTTTCACGACCAGCGGCCATGCCTCCGCTGTAAAGTGACCAAGAAGGAGGTGGGACACCGCTTTTCTTGATTCATTCTTTCTCCCAAACTCTGGGACCGTTCATCCGTCGAGCGTCGACTAACTTTGTGCTTCGTCTCTTGTCTGCGATCCAGTGCGATAGAAACCAGCCATGTTCAGCCTGCTCAAACCTACCATTGATAAGTTCCGAGGACCATTGGGCCGTCATTGGGTGCTTCCGCAGTTCCCTCAGCGCCTTTACCGACTATCTACTGCCAGGTATAAACGATTTGGTTTACTCTTCTTTTCTGTTTCCTTTCTCCGTGTAGCCTCGATTTGCACCTTCATGTTGTTATAGCTGTCTTGTTTCCCCGTTGCGGCCTATGCAAAACCGGAAAGCTCCAACGCATATATATATATATATCTCTAACAACGCCGGGCAGGCTCTTCTTTCTCACACGGACACACCCAAACACCCACATCTTCCACGTCTCCCACACGACGACAAAATGTGAACGATTATCTGCAAAGAACGTGTGCTTTTCCAGCGCACATTGGTGAGCACGTTAGAACATGTATGGACTATAGGGATGCCTTTTGGTGGTCCGGACAGCAAACATCTCATAGAAGATTTGATGGACATCATGAGACGCAACACTTCACCCAGGATATGGTCAACCGCCCTCCACCTATTCTCTGCGCCTTGGCTGCGAGCTGGAATTGCCAGGAGACATCAGGTAACCCGCTCGATCTCCTGAGATATACCGGATATATATCGCCCTCTCGCGAGGTCGAGGAGTCGCAGTACCCGCTTTTATACCATGCAAAGGTCCTGCTCCGTGAAACCGCATTCTACTGCCTTTTCCACCCCAAGCCCGTCCTTCAGCTGGATCCAAGCTTCGGATATCAGCCTCCGTCAGACCGCCTGGACTTTACCGGAGAGCATAGCCGGCTTGTCGAACAGGCCATGGTGGCATTCTTGCAGTCTTTTGAGACCATATCTCTGAGAAGTTCCCCTCTCCCATCGAAGGAATGGCTGGCCGTTTTTTACTCTTTGTGTATCTTCAGCATAATTCGCACCTTGCTCATGGACCTCGCCTCAATTTCCTTGCTTCCTTATCCCGCATTTCGACATCAAAGTCCACTCAGAGACAGCCCTCAAAACACCATAGACGGCGTATACAAGGCCTTGGTCCATTTGTTCATCACGAGTGGGCCGATGTTGACGGACGGCTCCCCCAGCGATGTCCCACAGGAGGATGTTCCCGTATATGAGCTCACGCGCCGCATCATGCGCATGGATACGTGGCAGTCCCGAAACATTCGCTCCAGCGCAGATTTCCTCATGAGTCTAGGAAGTGGAACTAAAGATATGTTCGGATTCAACGGCTTCATCCGTCCCGGACGGCCACACGTTGCCCCCATCCATGATACTCACCTGTCAACTCCCCAGTCCATCTCGGCGCGTGAGCCGCGGTGGTCATCCGTGGGGAGCTCTGCATTCCCTCCCGCACCCTCCCACAGAGAAATACTACTTGGACCGCGCCCGGAGGCGTTGGATGACGCAAACATCAGTCGTGGGGGGGGTTCGTCTTCCTTGAGCCAGCCGGTCCTAGAACATGTCGGACGTGCCAGGAGGCACACGGTTGCAGGGGAGACCACGAACACATCGAGCCCGATCTTCGGAAACCACTTGACCCCCATGAGATTCAAGCCTGCCTACCAAAGACCACCCCTACGGCGCGTGTTTTGCCGCAAGTGTAATGAATATCCCGAAGGGTTTCGCGGCGAGCACGAACTGAGACGGCATACAGATGCTAAACACGCCGCGCTCGTAAAACGATGGGTTTGTTGTGAGCCTGAAGGACAAGGCCCAGCGTCCCCGCAACCTGCCATTCCCCTTTCGAGCTGCAAGGCTTGCGTTATGCAGAAGCACTATGGCGCCTATTATAATGCAGCGGCTCATCTTCGTCGAGCTCACTTCAACCCCCACCGCGGAGGCAAGGCCAGCGGGGATTGGCCGCCCATGTCCTTGCTGAAAGACTGGATGCGCGAAGTCAGGCAATCTGTGGCGGAGGTGGGCGGCGATGTGGACAATGACATGTCGAGCGACGGCGAAGAGGAAGAAGACGTGAAGCATCCTACCAGAACGATACCTCTGGCGGCTATACCGCCGGCACCTGTGATGGAGCTACCGCCGCCCATCCCAATCGTCAGCTCACACTTGTCAGTATCATCTGTCAGCTCCATGACGGTATCTCCGAGCATCATGGAAGATCAGGTGCCGTGGGAAATGATCTCGAGGAGCCCGGCCGGCCGGTTAGCGCCGCCGCCGCCGCCTCCTCCGCTGTCACTGCCGCCACCATCGTCCCAGCCGCCGATCCCACACCACCTATCGAGACCTATACCGACACCGCCAGCACCCGAGAACCGTAGCAGGTGCCCGTTTCCCGATTGCGGGCGCGTGTTCAAAGACCTGGCAGCTCATATGCTCACGCACCAGGAGGAGAGGCCTGAGAAGTGTCCCATTGAATCGTGCGAATATCACACCAAGGGCTTTGCTCGCAAGTACGACAAAAACCGACACGCGCTTACACATTACCGAGGAACCATGGTTTGCCCATTTTGCCCCGGGGTCGGCTCAGCCTATGCAAAAGCATTCAACCGAGCCGATGTGTTTAAGCGCCACCTTGCTGCAGCCCATCAGGTCGAACAGGCGCCTCTGCATAGCCATACGACCAACAGAGGTGGCCGGCTTATCACGCTGTCTGCTAATTCAGGGGCCAGCGCCATCTGTTCCATTTGCAACAACCGCTTTGCCGCACCGCAGGACTTTTATGAGCACCTGGACGACTGCGTGCTGAGCGTCATCGTTCCGGCGGGTACCCGAGCGGCCATGGAAACGAATAACGATGCTAACGACGAAGATAAAAAGCCAATAAGAGGAGGATCTGCTGGGGCCGGCGCCGGAGCCGGAGCCGGGGTCGGGGCCGGGCCTGGTACAACCGGAGAGCGGACAGCTGGGAATGGAAATGGAAATGGGAACGGGAACGGGAATGGGAATGGGTCAGGAACCATTGACGGTACACAGGGAATGATTTACATAAGAAGAGCGAAAAAGTCTGCCCGGATGGAATAAGCGCTCTGATCTGTTTTCTTTTGCTTTCTTTTTCTTTTTCTTCTATCTTCTTCTTCTTCCCCATTCTTGGTCTTTTTTCCTCTTTGTGCGATTCCTTGGAGTGATTTCTCATTACCTTTTTTCTCTCTTTTTTCTTTACCCCTCTGGTGAGGGCACATGAGCGACATTTGTTATTATTTTACCTTTTTTCCCTTTGGGTATACGAGTCATGTCACCAGCACCCAGCATCTACCTCTACATACCCAACCCTCACGAGTGCAGAATTTCCGGTTATGGGATATTGCGGGCACCTGTACAACAAACGAATCATAGCGTAGCGATGCTCGGTCTACTTTGAAGAAGGCGAGCGGATGAAAAACAAGAGCGTATGTCGTTTTGCCAGCATTTGGATAGTGTTGCTGTGAAAGTAGGATGTCTGACAGCTGCAAGTCAGGCTAAATGTACGGAACAGTCCGGACTGTGCACTGTGCGAGGCAGCGTAAATGCTTGTTATACATGGGTTATGACTGAGATGAGCATCAAAGAGGGATGCAACAGACAGTGTAACAATGTGCTGTAACAATGCCAGGATGTCAAGATTGTACCGCATGCTCCGTATTTACGGGATTCTGAAGAGTTGCGGAGCGGATTTAGGTGGGGCCCGGGCCCGGACTTAAACCAACGCTGCGCGTCGCCCAACGTTGCGACATCAACAACGCCTCGGCAGCTTTCACGATGCTCGTAGTTGTTTGACGTGAGAGCATCATTTCACGGTCCAAGGCTGTAGCGTATAGCATCGAGAGCCTACGAAACGCCATGTCAGACACGACAAGCCTAGAGTCGGAGGCTACGGAGACGTTGAATGCGGTGAACAGGCGGAGATTGCAGAACCGCCTGAACCAGCGGGCGAGCCGTAAGTGAACCATGTCAACTGCCCATCTATCTATCTAGCCCTACTCTTCTCTTTGGTTGACGGGAGCTGATGAATGGGGGCGGGGGAAAGGCATGAGAAAGAAGGAGCTGCAGAAGCAGCAGCAGCAGGACAAGAATCAGGTTAGCAAATGGGTCTTTTATGTAGACCCGAGAACGGAGGACGCGCAGCAGGACGGGCGGCCGCTGGATCGAAAGCGGTATCAATGGCGTCTTGCGCAAACGCGGCCGGCGTCGTCTCTTGATGAATGGAAAGAATCCGGATCCGAGTTGGCTGTTGCCAGCGGCAGCTGCCACAGCCCAAGTATCAGCGACGTGTTCCTCTCGCCCAAGTACCGCGACGAAATGTTTCGCTTCTTTTGCAAGTTGTCGACGACCGAACGGGGTGTCTTTTACCGTCGGTTGTACGAACTAGTTACTCGCCATGTTGCGCAGCGCACGCTGGATAGTCAGCTCCTGTTGTCCGTGATGCAGTTCAACGTTATCCGGGCCGCGGGGGTGAATGCTGCGGCCATCGGCATCGGGATGGATCTCATGGCCGAAGATGTCATCTCGCCTTTCTACGCCGGCGTCGGTACTCAGCTCACTCTGCCTGGCAGTACTACTACATATGGCAAAGAGCTGCAGCATCTGCCGCCGAACCTGCAGCCAACCGCGTTGCAGAAGCTGGTCATCCACCACCCCTGGATTGACGTCTGCGCTCAGCCTTCGTTGCGTGACGCGCTGCTGAGGAGATTGCATAATCTAAACGAGGATGAGTTTTGCCATCACTTGTTTCTACAACATGGCGAGTCGGACAAGGACGGCATGATCGGGATGGTGGTGTGGGGAGAGGCTTGGGATGCCGCGTCGTACGAAATTTCGGCCACCATGGTACGCAAGTGGCCGTGGATAGTGAACGAGTGCCCGGACATTATCAGGACGACGAATTACTGGCGGGCAAAGAGACAGGAGGGTCCATTGAAGATTCTTTGATTAAGATACGGGATATGGACTCTTCTTGATTTCTATCGACGAAAGGATTGTATATGAGAGGTGGGGACACAGAGCCTAGACGGCAAAGGGCTCTCCGATGAGCTTCTCGCTGAGTTCCCACAGCTTGGTCCAGTTGTCTCGGTTCAAGATGTGCGACGTCAAGTGATCCTCAGCAGGGGCATTCTGGTGCAGGTAGGCACCGTGGGCCTCCTCGATGGTGGGATCAACCATGGCCGTGATGAGGTTCGACGCGCCCTCAGATGTGCCTGTGAAGTTTGGTATGTTATAGGGGCGGCCGTCGAGATCGTGCATTGCTGTTCCAGTCAATTTATCGGTCAAGAAGGGAGCACGAGGGAGCACGCTTACGTTCAGTCGACTTGCGCAGCACCTGAATCTGGGCGAGGAACTCGCCTCCAAAATGGCGCTGTAATCCCGTTCGAACAGCTGTTGGATCGAAACGCGGCTGATTAGCCACGGCTCACCAATTGTCTACTGGAGGATACATACCACCGGGGTCGACGCTGAAGACGCGGATGCCTTCTCCTTTGAGCTTCTCGCCTAGGGACTTGGCAAAGATTGTTCTGGCGGCATTTGACTGGCCATAGGCGTCGAGGGCGTTGTATGTCTCACCGTCCTGTGGAACGGCAATATGTCAGCAATCGGGGGCCATTTCTACGTGTCCTATGGAGGAGGACAAACGCCGTAGTTGATGTTGTCAAAGAAGACCTGGCCTCTTCGCACAGCGGAGCTAGAGCAAATGACAATGGAGGACTTTGGCCCCGCAGCCCTGATCTTGGGCAGCAGCTCCTTGACCAGCAAGAAGTTGGCCAGGTAGTTGACGCCAAACTGCGACTCGACGCCGTCGGCCGTCTTCGCGTAGGGGGGCACCATGACACCCGCCACGGCGACGAAGTGGTCGAGTTTGGGCACGTCGTCGAGGTCCTTGACGGCTCTGCGGACGTCCTTGAGGTCGGAGAGGTCGAGCTGCAGGAAGCGAGTGGAGACGTCGGGGTTCTTGGATTTGATGTTTGCGACGACGGGCTCGACGCGGGACTCGGAGCGGGCGGTTAGGATGATGAGGGAGGGTTTGTAGGCGCTGATTTGGACGGCGAGTTCGCCGGCGATGGAGTCGTTGGCGACGCCGGTGATGAGGATCGTCTTGTTGGCGAGGGAGTCGCCGTACCTGCTGAGGACGAACTCGGAGGAGAGGATGAGGCCGCCGTCCCAGCTGGGCATGGTTGCCGTTTGATGGATGGGTTTTTTTTTTTGGGAGAGGGTGATGAAGATAGAGTGAAAGGTGTTGGAGCAGGAGAAGATTGAGTGCTTATTTGAACAGTGTTGTCTGGATGTGGAAGACAAGATGCCAACCTCATCGATACTTATACTCTTCGACTTACACGCAAGACACACAAAGACATGAAAATCCTAATCCGACGCAACAGCCTCGCCCATATTCCCATCCCAACAAGGCTAGCCCTCCAGTCATCAACATGCACTCCATCTCCACACTTCACACAAACACACCGGCTTTAAGCCTCTATGCCCAACTATCCTCATCAGGGGGTTGTTGCTCTCATTTTGGGTTTGTCCAACGTTGGTTTTTCCAATCACGATCTCCGCAAATCCCGAGCCGGCTCCCGATGCGTCTTTACCGTATCGAGTTAGTCTTGTGTTTCTGTATTGAGTTAGAGCGGCTGTCAGCATTCGGGAGGACGCGCAATTTCCTCATGAGGCAAACCAGTTAACCACCCTAACCCTACCTGGGCAGATGTGCTCACCCACTAAAATTGCTACCTGTTTTCGACAGCGCCGCACTAACCACTGAGTACATGATTTATAGGGAAATAGCTGGGAATTTAGTGTATCTTTTTGTAGACTAATCCTTCAGGGAAACTGAGTGTTTACCCCTCCAAGTGCTTAGCAGCTAGTATTACCATTTTAAAACACTACAACACAACGCATTTAGTTATAATAAAAGTATAACTAATACTCGCAAATATATTACTTAAACCTCCCTTAATTAATATAAAATTTACATTAGCAGATGCAGCTTTTAATGCTTTTTAAATTTACTGGCGTAATAAAGGGTTTATAATTGCTAAAATGCGCCCTTTGTCCTATAAAAACGGCCAACCTCGTCGTTATGATATTGCGTGTGTGTGTGTGTGTGTGTGGAAGTCGCGAGTATAAATCTCAGTCTCCTGGGCTACGCAAATCAACTACGAGACGCACAAGCTGCCCGTTCAAGATGAAGATGGTGCAAAGGAAGGATTGTGACAACCTCTGGGTCCCGGGAATCCTCTGCGGCGACCACAATCACGAATCCAACCCGTCTATCAGTTTTCCTGAGTACCGGTAATCTGCCAATGATTAAGCGTATGCGTAGAGACGGTCATTAGATGAGCAATAGTTTAAGTAATGCTATTTAGTAGCTATTTTGCAAAGAATAAAAAAAAAACACATAATTCAAGTCTAAAGCTCACCTCAGCTTTTTACTAGACAACCGAGTGACTATTGCAGCTCCTTTGATTTTTGATGTTTTTTTTTTCACGTTGATGTATGGTACCTTATCTTCTTCCTCCTGTAAACAGTAGTCTTCCCACAACAAACAACTATTTAATGCGCCCCGAGAGCCCGTGTATCGTGCGAGCTAGGCATACTACCCTTGAGCAAAGTAACTTCTGATCTTCAGAGAGCCACAAGGCCCCAATAGCCTCATACTAAAGTACCGTGAGAAGGAGGAACCTATTATATAGAGCCAGTTTATCGGTATGAAAAAAGAGAATATCTAGCGGAAGCTGGAGAATAGCGGCGCCGAGGGTTCTTTAGCTGTCGTCTCTGTGCTAGCAGCGGCCCTTTGCCTAGTAGTCGAACGTAGAACTCGTAAACAGAGCATTTGAAAATGTCTGAAACTTGAATCCTCAAGAAGAGAAGTTGATTGTGCAACGCCAGAGAGTGAATGAAGACCAAACTTCAACCCCAACTTGTAACCGTTCGCCATACACTAGCTGTAAATCCATTTCAAAGTTTCTTAATACTAATGCGTATCGGTGCCGGCTCGAGATGATCATGTATTGGTCTCTCTCCACTTGCTCTGGCGCCTTGGCTGCTTTCCTTTCCTGTTCGGGCAGTGTTTGTTCTCGTGGGCTTTGATATTCGATTTATTGGGGTCCCTCGTGCCACAGCCGTAACGGCAGTTGTATATTACCCGGCGGTAATTTGGTATAGTCTCGGGATGGTGAACTTTCATGTGTTTCTGGAGATTGCTGGCCTGGCCCCGGCGGCCGTTCTTTCCGATTTTAAATTTTGAATTGCAAATGGCGCAGCACATTGTTCCGTCCATCAAAGCCCTCATGGTAGTCAAGCCAGGTGTAGCTGTGGTCACTGTGGAGGATGAGATGGTAGTGGCAGGTGGTGAAGCCGTCAGATGTGACGACACACTGGGCGACCCGTTCTCTGGATTGGGCGGCATGGGGGCATTGGTAGGTAGACTCTCTTGTATCGCTTGCTTGGTTGATGGACTGCACTCCGTCAAAGTAGGTCTTTTTTCACATGTAAGGGTAGGACGCGTGTCACAAAGGTATTGTTGTCGTAAAGTTTGCAGCCGATGAGAGCTTCCGGATCCACGGTCAGACAGCCCGGATGTCTTTATGAGAGGCTCGACTATGTCTCGTAGGGGCATTAGAAGGTGCGTGGGGCTGTTCGCCATTGTATGGACAATTGTTGCGATTGGAATTCCCCAAAGATGGGAAGCAATTTCGAAGAACAGGGGTTGATCATCCGGACTCAAAAGAGAAGCCCATTGTGGGATGTCATCAATGAATCTACATTGTCGGTTAGACGTGCAGCTTAAAAACAGTAAAGGATTCTAGTCTGCTCACTCTTTCTTCGAGTACCCTAGGTTTGAAGGTGGCACAACCGACTGCATTGCATTTGCAACCTGCAATGCGTTGACGATGTCTGAGAGGTTACGTGGCATGTAGCCTTCGCAGATGTCCCGAATCGCACGTGTTCCGCTCCTACAGACGGACTCTCTGGTGCCGATCTGATTCGCAAATGCCATGGCTCCTGCAGAAACGCCCTGCATGGTGCTTGCTCCGAGCAGTCTTTGGTATGAGTTGGTAACCTTTGCGAGTAACCGATGGGCCACGGCTCTACGTTGTTGGGCCTCGCGTCGTCTGATAACAGTCAGTAGTTGGGATTGGGAGGGCTCATTAACGAAGTGCAAAGAGTTATCTAGCGCTTTGATATCCCAGTCGTCAATCTCGTCGACGGCTTCGTCCAGAAGGTCGAGACTTGCAGACATAGAGCGGGTTTGGTTGAAAATGTCACGACGATGGGTGTCTGTAAGAATGCCGCTTTCATGTAGAGGATCAAAGTCCGAGAAGGCAGATACCGAGCCTTCACGGAGGAAATGACGGACAAATAACTCGAGTGCGTCGAAGCTGCGTCCCTCTCTCCTATCCTGGTTGAACTTGGCACTCATTTCGGGGCAGCGAGGTGCTAGACGCTTCATGCTGGTTAAGATGCCAAAGTATGTGATGATGAGGCGGTTACGCAGCGAGGTGATTGCGCGCAACCACTGTTTGAGGTTGTCTTCGTAGATTGTGACGTCCAATGAGCTCGGGGTCTTGCAGAGGATGAAGCAGATCTCGAGGTCTTGGTTTGGAGCGCCCTGGATGAAGCGGCCATTGCCGCATGAATGAGCCTTGAAAACCCTTCCTCTTGGTTTGGTCAGCGTAATGCGAAATAGAAAGCTGCAGATGCCGGAAGAGGAGTGTTCACCCTCCCAAGAATTCGGCAAAGACAAAGGCCTTTCGCCGGGATGGAGCCAAATGCTCCAAGCTCATGGCGGCGACAACGGCGCGATGCCACCAAATGGACGTGTATTATGTTGGCGGTCGGCCAAGAGGCAGTCTGTAAAAAGCAAAATGTGAGTTGAGTTGAAACCGAATTCAAGAGCGGCACGAGCCGGAGAGAAGAAGGAGAATCTTATACTCTGCCCCGACGGCTACATGTATGACTTTACGCCCACCCATTGGGCTCGTCACCATGCATGTACAGCCTTGGATTGAGCCGCCCCTAGAAGTGTTAGGAATCGGTACCAGCCTTCGAGTTCATCATGTTAGTGGCCGCATCGCGCTTTTAGGAATCTATGCAAGGCGCGCCAACTGCAGCCTAACAATGTGTACCTGGGCAGGCGGCGTATCACGAGGCTTGACTGAGACTGACAGGGGATGCATTCCTCAATCTCCAAAACTGCCCGAACTTGACAGGGGTCCATGTCCAGTAGCAATCCGGGGATTGTTAGGAATCGCACGCATCAAGGGAGGCGGAAGCCTAATGGCTACATGTACTCCGTACCGAACCTACCTATCACTAGGTATCAAAGCACAGGTCAGCATCCTTGGATCTCCAACAAATAAACATGAATGTACCCAATTCTCCCTTGCAAAGAGGCATAGTACCTAGGTAATGCATATGCTGGCCGCATGGCTCTACCTCGCAGCACGTCTTCCTAACTTGCCACTGCCTGCTGCATCTCATTGGCCTGGAGTATCTGGGCCGCCGCTGCGTTCCTAACAATTGATCCCCAGCTCTCCAACGTCGCCAAATTCCTAACTTATACAATGCTTCACTGGATTCTCCCATCGTGGAGGAGCCCCACGTTCATCTCATTGCCACGTCCTAGTGATTCTCTCAGCCGCCTTCCAGGAACCCCCATATTCCTAACAACATGGAATCTTTAAAGGACGGTACCGCCATTTCCTTGAGCGGTCATTGAATTATGAGACTAATCCCATCTACACGTACCCATTGTCTCAAGAAAGATCAACGTCAAATATCCAATTCTCGTCATGTCTTCGTCATGGCATGCTGAAACAGAGTACCAATCCGAGATAGCACGGATCAACCTCCGTGTAGTCATGTTCAGCCATGGCAACTACCTTCTCTATCACGTTCCACTTCAATCTTCCGACAAGGCAATTGATGCCATGCTCAAACTCAAGAGGTCTCTTGTAACCTCTCGTGGATGGTGGACGGACAATTTAATAAAGGTTGTTCCCTTTCTAACGCCGGTAGTTTATAGCGCGACAATGTGCCCAGTATGTGTTTTATCCTCGCGTTTTTAAACCCGATATAGTCAACTCATAATTCGTTTCTAGGTACCAATCGAGGTCATCTCTCAAGATCTCCCCTGCATCGTTGACATTGGAGCCGAATATCGCTGCCACGTTCTAACAAAGGCTTTGCATAATCCCCGAGAGTTCCCCGCTAGGTGCGATTTCATCACCTCGTATCGCCGTTTTACAGCTCTCGTCGAGGCGCCTGGCACTCTTCGTGCTAGAGATGTGTTATCAGTTCGCCTGGAATTCGACAAACTGATTCTCTCAGCGTTTGTTTTCTTATCCCTCATCTTATCCATCATCTGTGGAGTCGTGGCTGGCTTTTGTTGGAAGAGTTTAGATACTGGGCTGGGTGTGTTTGGTGCTGTCATCGGCGTGGATGGCGTCGTGATGGGCATTTTGGCCTATTTGTTAAGTTAGATGTTGCTTGCCAAAGCGAGCGGTATCACGCTACAAGTCTGTTTGAACAGGAAACAATGATGTGTTCAAGGCAACTACATGTCGGTATTTAATATACCACGTACTTAGTAGGTAGCTGCAAATCGAGGAATGCCTAGTAGTGTTAAAATATATGCCTATCCTGACCTGGATTATCGCCATACTCTCTACTACTGAAGCATAAAACGGCTGGTGTTTACCTATACGCGGCACAACCACAACTTAAGATAGTAGTATCACAATTTGCATTCGCTATACCGATAAATGGGTCAAGATGATCAATGAAAGGTATAAAGGAACGATGAACAAATCGAAACCGCCACGTTACTCTGCCCCAGTAGATAGCTTCGACAGAAGCTTGCGGAATTCGTCAATATCTCCTTGCAGCTCACGCAACCGCCCCCTATTACCAAACACCTCCCCAACCATCTTCAAATCTTGCTCCATTCGCTCAGATTTTGTCGTGCCATCGAGCACCTGAGTCCCGCCCAAACCCAGAATCAAGACATAAAAGGCAAGTTCCTTTTCGATATTGAGCTTCAAAGCTACGGACTTCAAGATGTCCGATGCCAGAACCTCCGGGTTGTGCCTGAGCATCCAGTATGCCTGGTACGTTATGCCTCGCCCTGCGCAAAATTCTCGCAGGCCAAAGTCAAAGCCTGTCTCTTTGTAGAAGCGGTTCTGCACGATGACGGGCTTAACCGTTGCGTTGGCATACACCTCCTTAAGCTGGGGCAACTTGAAGTTGGAAACGCCGAGGGAGCGAATCGTGTGTGGCACAAATGTCTCGAGGACTTTCCAGGCAATCAGGTTGTCGTCATCGTTCTCAAATGGTACATGGAGCAGCAAGGAATCCAAGTAATCGACTTGAAGGTGTTCAAGGCTCTGTCGTACTGACTCCGTTATCTGTCCCTCAATGTTTTGGTGAGGATTGAAGGGGATCTTATTCGGATCGTGAGCCCAGACTGGCGTGAACTTCGTTTGGATCTAAACATGGTGAGTAAGTCGATCTGCCAAAATCAGAAATAAGAAGAAGAAGAAGAAATTAAGGTACAAAAAGATTGCTTCTGTTGATGCCAGACTTGAGGGCCGCCGCAATTCCATCGCCCGTCAGTTTCTCGTCGTACGCCGTCGGGTAGTTGGCCGTGTCGATGCAGGTGAAGCCCTTGAGCACAGCCGTCTCTGTAAGATGAGCAGTCTTTTCCTCTTTCCAGGCGGTTCCATAAAGGAGAAGCGGGATTGTGAGTTCCATGACAGCTGAGAGTGATGAATTGTTTTCTAGAGAATGAGAAAAATCCCCAATTGGTGAAGAGAGAGACAAGGGAGATGGGAATGCTGTTGGTTGAAACCATCCGTGCTGGCTCCTTTGATACATGTATACTGCAAGTGCATGCAGCCAACACTTGCATAGATCAACACCTTTATGTCCTCACATCGGGACAAACAATTTCTCCTTCTGGGCTTTATACAAAACGCTGTACGTGTCCCTCGGTGACATCCGCATCAGGTCCTCAATCAAGCAATCTCACTTTAACAGCACCCTTTCGCCCTATTCTCTACATCACGGCAAAGCTACCGATATGCTCGCCCTCACGCTCTTCCCTCTCCTTGCAGCCGCCTGGCAGATACCTCTTTTGCCTCCAGAATCTCATCTTTGGGGATTACGAGACAGACTCGTCCACGTCCTGCCAGAAATCGAAGCCCTCAAAGACATCGGCGGCACGACTGGCATCTCCATCGGCGTCATGAGCCACGGAAGCGTCCTTCTAGAAACCAACCTCGGCTTCGCCGACGTCGAGCACCGTCTCGTACCAAACTCCAGCACGAGATACCCCGTCGCGTCCCTCACAAAGGCCTTTACCGCCGTGACGATCGCGCAGCTGGTCGACGAGGGTCTTCTCAACTGGGATGAGCCCCTGACCAGCTACATCCCCGAGCTCTCGTTTGAGCAAGATCCATCCCTCGCCGGCCAACTCTCCCTCGTCGACATCCTATCTCACCGGACGGGACTTGTTCAACTCGATAACCTCTGGCTAGGCGCCAACAGCCAAACCTTGGTGGCCAAGAACTTTACAGTTTCGCTGTGTAATCACTTGGCACCCATGTATCCCGTGAGATCGCAGTGGCTCTACAACAACTGGATGTATGCGCTGGCCGGCGAGGTTATTGAGAGAGTTACGAATCAATCCTGGGGCCGAGTGCTCTCTTCCCGAGTGTTAAACCGGCTCCAGCTCTCACATACCACAACCATCGCCTCTGAGATCCCACCAGACTCTCTTGCGCTGCCATATGTCGTCCTCGACGACTTGACGCCAGTACGCGTTGCCAGTTTCGACCTCACCGACGGCAGCGCCTTGTCTACCGCGGGCGGCATCCGCAGCACCGTCGGCGATCTTCTCACCTGGGGCAACGCCCTCCTTTCCGTCTTCCGCAACGGCGAGACACCCCTCGCCCTTCTCGACACCGTCTTCGCTGGCCGCAGCTTCATGAACAGCACCGCCACACCGGACGAGCTTTACACAATGGGCTTCGTAAAAGTCATGACCCCGACACAAATCGGCACCTTGGGTCCCAACCCCAGCCTAGTCGACGCCATGCCCGTGATAGGGACCAACTCGAAGCCCCAACAAGTCTTCTATCACAGCGGCGCCCTCCCTGGTTACAACCACTGCTTCATACTGGTCCCAGAGTCTCAGTCCGTCATAGTCGTCCTATCCAACTCCATCTCCCAAGGAGAAACCCCCTGCTGGATCGCCCAATCTCTCCTCCAAGCCGTCTTGAACGAAAAGCACCCCCTCAACATAACTCAATACGCAGAGCAAGCCGCCTCCAAATGGAGAACAATCCACCAAGGAATCGAACAAGCTCTCGAAAAGGGCCGCAAGCCGAACTCGCCAGAACCCATACACAAGACCCTCCTAGGCAAGTACTGGCACAAAACCCGAGCGGTATATCTCGACGTATTTCAGCAAGACGGCGCCTTGAAATTCAACATCAACGGCAAGCCAGAGTAAGAGCACGTCCTTTCACACTATAGCGATGATTCGTTCGTCTTCTTGCCTTCGGCCGACCAGCGGATTCGCAACGGCCTGTTCCTCTACGGCCCCCCCTCGTGGCTTTTGCATTTCAGACAAGACCCGAGCGGAAGCTTCACGGAGATTGTGTGGGATATGGGCAGCCACACACCTTTTCCAGAGAAGTTTACCAGAGAAGAGCCCTAATGTCGAACTCGTTGCATATACAATTTGTGGAAGAGGAACGGAAATTACTGAAGAATGGTTATTAGCCTGCACGCTTCCTGTTAAAGAGCGAAATCTATGGGATATATAGCGGACCTACTACATGTAGTCTACAAGTAAATAAACAGCCTACAAGTCATAAACCACCCTCTAAAGGCACATGCCATGTGGCAAGCGCTGGGTCCATCACATCAAGACTTCACGAAAACTATTTGAACATCACCATTGATCAGCTCCTTGTAGATTTGGACACTTTGATTGTGTTTCATTGCTATATATACTCAATATAGCATATCATAATCATGCTGCTCAAACAAGCATACCCTCTAGATAGGGAACAGTTTTTTCATCAGGGAATCTCATAAAATCCAAAAGTGAGAGTCTTCTCTCAGCAAGGATGCACAAAATTGCATCCTTCTACTTCCAGAAACCGGATATCAGGTATAACAAAAAAAGAAAAGAGAGTAGATCTCTACCCCCCAAAGCAAACTCCCCATATGCAGATTACGCGTTAAGAATAAAGATGTAGTAAAAAGATATATAGAACAATAGTCTTTCGGAGAGAGATAGGTGTAGGGTTGCCGACTTTACTCGGAAGAAGCCTCGTCGCTGACAGTCTTCTCATTCAGGACACCGCCGCTGGAGCGCGCAGCGGGGCTGGAGCGCTTGAAGAAGGCGTGAATCTCAGGAGAGAACTCGCCATCATCAGGCATGCCACTGTGGTCAGCCTCGGTCTCCTTGGGTCCACGAGCAGCCTGGACGGCCTCCCACTCGGCGCGCATGTCCTCGACCTTCGCCTTCCAGTCCAGCTGGGGATCATAAGTCTTGGCGATGCCACGGAATCTCTCCCAGAGGGACAGGTGGTGAGGGTGGACGGCCACACCGTGGTACTGGTCGGCCTTGCCGTCACGGATGTAGCGCCATCGTCGCTCCTGCTCCTTGAGGTCGAGACCGGTGGTGTCGGGGAGGAAAAGCCAGGTCAGGAACATGCCAGCGAGGCCGAACCACGGGACGACGTAGAATCGGGTCTGGATGTCGATGTAGTTGTACAGAATCGAAGCAAGCAGAGCACCAGCCTTTCCGAGACAGGCAGAGAAACCGTGGGCAGTGGCTCGGATGGGGGTGGGGAAAACCTCGCCGGCAATGAGGAAAGTGACGGAGTTGGGTCCGAACTGGTTGAAGAAGGAGGACAAGAAGTACATGGCCTGGAAAGCGTGGATACCGGCGGGGCTGGTGTAGTACTCGTACTTGAAGGCGGGGATGACGAACATGAGGAAGCACATGAGGAAACCGATCTGCTGCATCCACTTGCGGCCATAGAGCTTGTTGTCGATGAGGAAAGTGGCGCAGTAGTAGCCGGCCAGGGAGACGACAATGTTGACCAAGCTCCAAGACCAGGTGGTCAGGAGGGAGTTGGGGTTGTCGGAGATGACCTTGATGAACTGGCCCTGGAAGAGCTTGTTGCCGTAGAAGAAGACGTCGTTGCAGAACCAGGTACCGGCGGTGGCGAGCAGACGGCCACCGAAGTTAGTAAAGCAAGACTTGAGGGCGGTAACATCGTAACCGGTGACGCTGGTGCGGCTCTTGGCCTCGGCGAGCTGCTTCGAGGCGTTGGGCATCTTCCACGTTCTGTGGTAGACGAGCCACAGAGTGCCAATGGCGGGGAAGGCGAAGGACAGGCGGAAGGTGAACTGAGCAGCCTCCTTGGTGTAAGGGGGGCCGCCCTTGCCGTGGTTGAAGATGACGAGCAGGACAATGAGCAGAACCTGGTTGACGAACTGGCCCCAGCCTTGCATCAGGAAAGCCATGGTGACACGGCGACCACGGTGCAGACGATCCTCCTTGGTGGAGAGCTTGCCGGCAGTGACGGCGCTCTCGAGGGAAGATGTGGCAGTGATGGGATATTCACCACCGACACCGAGGGAGTAGAAGAACAGCGACCAGGCGTAGCAGATAACCCAGCCCTGGAGGGTGTTGCCCCAGCTGGCAGTGAGCATGAGGAGGCCGATGAACATGACGATGGCATCCTGAATGAGACCCCAGCGACGGCCAATCCAATCACCAATAACCTGTATAGAGAGAAGTCGTTAGCGTCATACGTCTTCTTGGTGTTCTAATTTGGCTAATTTGCAGAGCACTTACACCGACAATGACCTGACCAATCATGATACCGACAACTTCCAGATAGGTGACGGCGGCAATCCAGTTGGGATCGCAAACGGTAGGGTTGGAGCCCCAGCACTCGGGCCAGACCTGGCTGAAGAGAGGAGCCAGGTTACCGATAGAGAAAAGAACGTAGCCTTCCAGACCAAGACCGGCACCAGGGATGACGGCATGGCGGAAATACCAAGAGACGGGAGACAGAGGGTCCTTCTTGATCATGGACCAAATGGTGCTCAGCTCCTCGCTGGCGGCCTGTCGGTCGACGGCAGAGACGAACTTGACACGCTCGCCAAAGGGCAGATCGGCCCAGTAGGTGCCGTCGGGAGTGTAGCTGTCATCGGGACGGGTGACATGGCTGAAAACACGGCGCTCATCCGCATCGAGAGGGTAGTCATCGCGGTCGTCGCCATCCCCATGGGGGCCGTGGGGGATTGGGATTTCACCGGGGACCAGGCCGCCCAGGTGGTGGTGCTCCTGGCTAGCCATTGCGACTGATATAATGCAAACGGCTTATGCAGTGCACAGTAACAGGTGTTCGGAAAATTATGCTGTTCTCGTCCACAAAGCAATCTGATTGGAGGGGGAGCGCAAGACTGCGGGGAGAAAGTCCGAGAATAGAGAGGGAGGGACAATGCCCTAGCAACAAATAAGGTTGGGGGGTTGCTTCGACCGCGGCCACCACACCAAGAGATGAAGATGGGGAGGAAGAGAAGAGGAAGAGGGAACGAGGGAACAAGATTGACGGGACGCAAATGCTTTATTTGTTTGTCGAAGTCACAGTCGCCAGGCGCTTTGTCACCCTTGATAGAGAGTGCATCAGCTTGGTTCAAGCTAAAGACCCGCGAAAGGCAGTATTTTGGAAAGAATTTCAATATCCGCCATGAGATTCACGGTTTAAGCCGCATTCGACGACCGAAAGACAGCATTTCGGCAGCCAGTCAGATGCTGAGATTTGCCATCGTGGGCGAACCTTGGACCTCGAGTGGCTTTGGCCGGGGGCAGACTCGCCTGGCCCAGCTGCTCCATTCCGTCGTCCGCCTCGTGGTCTTTGGGACGCTCCCCACAAGCTTCCCACACACCATGACCCGCTCGCAGTATCACTAAACCCTGTCGACGGTCTCTTTTGTCGTGTGCGCAGTCCATGGCCCGTAATAGGTGCTACCTTGTAGGCCGTGGCGGAAAGCTCCCTTCGGTACAGTATGCCACACATCTAGTCCTTCGTCCTCGCCGTAGCGCAGCTCGAGTCGACTTTGACATGCGCACAGGGGACGACGAGAATTCGCCGTAGTCCGGGAGAGACATGGCGCAGAAGCCATGATCTAGAGCTTTACCGCCACCATCTAGACCAATCGGTTCTGTTGGCCGTTGTGGCGCCTTTTGGCTCGTCGTAGTTCGGAGAAGGCTTTTGCTAGCTGATTGCTTCTCTCTCTCTTTTTTTTTCTTTTTCGTGTCCTTGCCCTGTCGCTTGAGCAAGATCTGCTGAGAAAATCGGGCCATCTCAACCCTCGCCTCTGAGCCTATGACGCCTCTGCAAGGCTTGCTTTGGCCACCTATGCAGGGCATTCGGTCAGGGTTTGCGTCCAAATGCTGGATAGTTTGTGGCCGTACGGAGTACTGTAGGCATAACCATGTTTCTTCGGTAGCCAATCTGGCATCCATACAGCCGCACTGCAGCAGGTGGTGTGCACTCTCTCGAGCCTCGGTCAACGGATCCAAAGGTTCTCTGCCTGATACGATCTTCATGTACAAATATGGAGCATCAGTACACACAGAGTCACTTGGTGTTTTGCGCATGAATTCCGCGGTGGGTGGCGGGATTTAAAAAAAAAATTGAGACAACGTCCTCATTGCGGTGGCACAGAGGGAAGAAGCAAAAAATTACAGCACAGATGCATGGACTTGATGCACACAGTTTAACATCCTTGGGCTGTCAGGCTGCCGCTGGACAAGCACTGCAGCGTCTCTATTGGCGAAGCGCATGTCTTTTGTCAGCATCTTAATGGCACCCAGTCGATACGAAGGCAAGGGCGTGGTGCGTCGTCCCTTCCCGGTTGGCGTTGCTGCTGCTGCATCCGGATAGAACGGCACCTCAGACAGTCAAAATCCGTGCCGATCTTTCCAAGAATTATCGGGCCCCCCTAACAAAGCAAGCAGGTGCTGTGGCTGCACCTGGCACCGACAAGAGAGCCTGGTGAGATGCTAAAATTGCCCAAAACAAGACTCTGAATTGCTTCGTTTCGCCCTCGACGATGAAATGTGTTTTTTTCCATCCGGGACGAACGTCGTCCAATGTCTCGGCACTTGCAGCCTATCAGGTACCGGCTCTGCTTGGCGACCGCTCTTTTACGTCACGCAATCCACCTCTGCCAAGTACGACCAACCGAAGTGGGAAAGTTGTCGCGTGAGTCAAGTCCAGAGTTCGAGACTTCCCCCTCTCGGTGTTACTCCAGGGCGTAATCGGAAAGAGCGCTGCGGGCGGAGCAAGACATGATGGAAAATGCAAAGAAAAACTCTGAAAGAAAAATACTATTGTCCACAGCACTTATGGCAAGCTGGAGAGAAAGAATGCGTGATGAGTGAGATTATCGAACAGCAATATCCATTTATTTCCT